CATTTTCATGTAAAATCTTGTTTGTACCCCAAAATTATGAGGTAGGTTATTATTATTCCCATTTCACAAACGAGGAAGTAAAAAACCAAACCAAAGGTAAATAACCTGCCTGAGGTCATACAACAGGTAAATAGCAGAGAGACTTCTAAACTAAGTTTAGAAGTTGTATTAAACATTTTGTATTAGTAAATGGAAGGCAAATTCATAATAACAAATGACTCTAAGAGCATCAAATTTTCAATCCTCAGATAATTATTCAACAGCTATTACGTAGAAGGCCCTTAAATAAGTGATTACAAAACAGACAAGGTCCCTGCTATTTCAGCTTTTCACTTGTGGGTGAAGAGAAAAAAAAAAAATCATTTTAAGTCTTCACTACATTGGAGAAAATAAACATAAAAAGGAGATACTGAGCTTAGATCTAAATGACTTTAAATATCCAACCACATAAAAGGATAAACAAGTAAAAAGAACCTGAGGAAAGATGAGACATTATTTGTAAAACAGAAAAAAAGCAATGAAAAATGTGACAAAAAAATAAAATGCAAAAAAATAATTTTATAATTAAAAAAATAATAATAATAAAATGCAAAAAAATAATTTTATAATAAAAAAAAGAAAAATGTGACAAGCTAGAGAGGTAAACATAAACTAATTCATATAGGGTCTCTTAAACAGTATTCGTAAATAGTTTCTTAGGTTTGGTTTTCTTGTACTGGGCACTGAACCCAGGGCCTCCCACGTGCTAGACAAGCCTGAGCTACATTTCCAGCCCTTTTCATTTTATTTTTGAGAAGTGGGTTTTGCTAAGTTGCCCAGACTGGCCTTCAAGTTTCAATACTTCTGCCTCAGTCTCCTAAGTAGCTGTAATTACAGGCATGTGCCACCAAGTTTATGGAAACGTTCATGGTAATGTTAATAGGGAATCAATGAAGGTTTTTGGACAGAGAAGGCACACAACCTGATTGGCATATGAAGTCACTTTGATTATATATTTAGAATTGAAAATGAGACCAAGATAGGATAAGAACAATATTTATAGGAATTGTGAGATGGACTTTAGTTGTTATCAGAGGAACCGCAGAGCAGGCAGATCAAGATGCATTTTGAAGGAAAGATACAATAATAACAAGATTTGCTGACTGACTAGATGTGGGGAGGAAAGGCAAAGACTGTAATAAGGAATCAAGGATAACACCAAGACTTTGGCTCTAGTATCAGAAAGAACTGGATTCATATCAGAACTATCTACTAGATTCAGTTTTAAATGTTCAATCTGTGATACCTAGTAGACAATCATAGTTAGCATACATAAGGGATCACTAATATTCAAAACTTAGCCAAGCATAGTGGTACACACCAATAAGGAATAATAGCTGCTTGGAAGGATGAGGCAGAAGGATCACCAAATATGAAGCCAGCACAGGCAACTTTGCAAGACCCTATCTCAAAATCTAAAAAGGCTGGGGGTGTTAGTTCAGTGATAGATTACTTGCCTGCTACATGTGAGACCCTGGGGTTCAATCCCCAGTACTGCAAAAAGAAAACAAACAAAAAACTTTACTACTGGACAAATTTACTATAAATAACATCAAATGAGATGTAAAATTGGATGGCTCACAGGTTAGAGAAAGAATGCAGTCACAAAAGGATCCTTGTTCTAAATTCACAATAAAATCTTCATCTATATATTAGTTGTAAGTTAGTAATCTTCCAAACAGTGCTATTTCTTTTGTTCTTCCTGTCCCATCTAACTCCTGGTTGTCAGAATAAACTTCCATTTACACAAAGTCCAAACTGAAAAAGGTTCAAATACATAACTACCCTCCCAGGACTATTAGAGATCTAGTTCCTAAAAACTAAAGTACAAAAAAATGTTGTTACCACACCAACAGGTATATGGCAGCACTGCCTTTCCAAAGATAGATGATATATTTGTGAGAACACTAAGGACCAAAACACTATAAAAACATTGTGTAAACTTTTAATTCTTTGAATATATTTCTTGAATTTTATTTTCTTCATACACCATCTTAGTTATCTGTTCAATAAAGCACAATAAATTAGCTGATGTAGTATGTTTTGATTTAAAATAAATATTTGGCTGGGAATATAGCTTAGTGGTATAGCACTTGCCTAGCATGTAGGAAGCACTGAGTTCCACCCCCAGCACTGCAAAAATATAAAGTAAAATTCTCATTTTTAAACACTGGGGAAAGAATGCTCATTCCTCTTCAGAATTTAAAATAATAACCTAGGGCTGGGGTATATTTGTAAAGTAAAGTGCCTGCCTAACAAGGGGTATAGGTGTGTTGCTCAATGATAGAACAATTGGCCAGCATGTGCAAGGCCCTGAGTTCAATCCCCAGCACAAGAAAAAAGTAAGTAACATGTATAGGGCCCTGGGTTCAATATGGGGTAGGGAAAGACCACTTAAGAATGGGCCAGGCAGTGGTGCACACCTATGTGCACACAGTGGTGCACAAGTCCCAGGAACTTGGGAGATTGAGACAGGAGGATTGCAAGTTCAAGGCCAGACTCAGCAACTTACTAAGGCCCTAAGCAACTCAGCAAGACCCTATCTAAAAATTAAAAAGCACTGGGGATGTAGCTAAGGGATAAAGCGCCCCTGGGTTTAAAGAAAAAAAATTATTAAGTGTTTTATGAAAATTAAGAATACATATAACATCATAAAATCTTTTAAAATCAGAAAAACTACTACTGTGCACAGTGGCACATACCTATAATCCCAGCAGACTGGAGGATCAAGAGTTCAAAGCCAGCCTCAGCAACGGTGAGGTACTTAGCAACTCAGTGAGACCCTGTCTCTAAATAAAACACAAAATAGGACTGGGGATGTGTCTCAGTGGTCAAGTGCCCTTGAATTCAATCCCTGGTATCAAATAAACAGATAAACAAATAAAATCAGAAAAACTGAAATAAGGAATTTTAAACTTACAAAACTGAAAAATTCTAAAGAATATCTGCTCAAATTAATGTTTTCAAACTTCATACACATCAAAAATCATCTGGAAGGCTTGTTAAAACAGACTTTCAGGCTCCTCACCTCACAAACTGATTCAGTATATCAGGGATGGGGCATTAAGAACTTTCCTTTTTTAACTAAAAATCTATGATTCTGGCATTGCTAGACCTAGCATGAAGCATACTTTGCAAACCCCTACACTAATACAAAGTATACAATTTTTCAAAGATTCCTTTCCCCCCAGGCTTTGAGACTACACATCTATCATACCAGCTATTCAGGAGGCTGCGGCAGGAGGATCACAAATTTGAGGGCAACCTGAGCAACTTAACAAGACCCTGTCTCAAAATTAAAAAGGTTAGGAATGTAGTTCAGTGGTAGAGTGTCTCCAGGTTCAATTCCAGTACCATGTACACATACACAAGAATCCTTTCCCTATTAATTTTGCTTAGGTTTCCATGGTGGAGCATGCCTATAAACCAGAGGCTTGGGAAGCTAAGGCAAGAGGATTGTGAATTCAAAGCCAGCCTCACCAACTTAGAAAGGCCCCAAGCAACTTAGGAAGACCCTGTCTCAAAATGGGGATGGGGGAAGGACACAGGATGTGGCTCAGTGGCTGAGCACCTCTGGGTTCAATCCCTAGTACCCCTCCCCCCAAAAAAGAGTTTAAAACTGTATTATATGTACATACACACATATTTTTTTCTTCTTTTTTAATACAATATGTCTGAATGTAACTCATATTAAAAACAGTAAAGGCCAATCCAACTCTAGATCTAAAATTACATTTGAAACAAACTAATTATGTGATATTGTATAATACCATTAACATGAAATGTCTGTAAATGGCAAATCTATACAGATTGGAGACTGTAGTAAGTAAGGACTGGGAAGAAGGGGATGAAGTGATCATTAATGGGTAAAAGAATAATTACACTAAAATCTATCAAAATATATTAAAATCAATTGAATTACACACTATAAACTCAGTGGTACATAAATCACATCTCAATAAAGCTGTTAAAGAAATTATGTGGAAGTATATACAACAGCTGAACAACATAACCAAATATTGCCATTGTAGTCACTCTTAGAAATACATAATTATAATCACAGTATCAACAGTTTTATTTCTCATCTCAGACACACAATTCTATTCTACAAAAAAAATTATTTCAAGTCCCAAATCAGACATATTATGTAGTATTTGTAAAGCGATTAAATTATAGGCACATGAGAATATAACCTTTGGGAATTAATGTGATGGGCCCCAGAACAATGCCATGTACCTACAATTAATAGTTCAACTTTCGGCTGCATTTTTCTTAAAAATTATTTTGCTTCACATTAGTAATTGGTTCTCTGCTCACATATCCACCAGAACAGCAGAGCAGTAATAGTGGCTTTAGTAACCACAGAAACACATACAGGTAACTGTCCAGATTTCTTCTTCTCATCTTCCCCACAACATAGTTTGTGTGGCTAATATCACAAAAAGCCTAAAACAGGTTATCAGGTAGTACTTGTACAAAAGATATTTTACTAAATAGGCCTACTAAAGACCTTGTTAAAACTTCCCTCATATTATTTTCATCTGTCACTCATCCATGTGATTGCTGAAAAAACACTTTGCTTTTTTAATTAAGAAAACATCTATTCCAATAAAAATTAAACCTATAGTGTCTACTTTAAAAATAAGAGGAGCGCTGGGATTGTGGCTCAGCGGTAGATCGCTTGTTCGATCCTCAGTACCACGTAAAAATAAAAGCATTGTGTTGTGTCCATTTACACCTAATAAGTAAATAAATATTTCTTTTTAAAAAATAAGAGAAAATTTCCAGAACCATCAAAAAAAAAAAAGAGAGACTCAAAGACATTTTTCAAATATCAATGATTTTAATTAAAGTTTTCTATTTTGTTATTATCTTCCCATTGAATCTCTACTTGCTCTTCATTTTATGTCACATGACCCACAACATTAAGTATTATTTGCCTCTATGCTAACAGGACTTACGTCTCATGAGTTCCAAAAAAGAAAATGGGTAGCTTATTTGTAGGTGGCTTTACAGCTCCATCAGGAACTTCATCTACCTAAAAGAAATATTTGAAAAATTAAAATTAAAATATTTTCAATCATACATACCTGAAAAAACTAAGAATAAGACATTCAAAACAGATAAAAAATGGACTCATTATCAAAAGCCCATAACCCTATATCTCCAGTTTTGAAACCCAAGAAGTTCTAAAACACAAGATTTTTCAAAACCTCATCTGGTAGCAAAACCTGGACTGACATTGAGGTTAATTTAGTCATTGCTAGTATTTCTGTTGTTTCTCTGCAGAAAAATATTGTGTTAGATTATTATGTGCTATCCCAGACCATACCAGCAGGAAAACGTGGCATAGGTTTCAACTTCCTAAAATTGTTGAATTATTAAACATATTTGGCCCTAAGCTTTTCATATAAAGTATCTGAACCTATTCCACAATCCTAAACAATATTTCTGTAGGAAAGCTACACAAAAAAACACAGTAATGTAAAGGAAAAAATTGGCCTGGGGTATAGCTCACTAGTACAGTGCTCGCTCAGCATGCATAAGAACACAAGAATTCGGGCTGGAGTTGTGGCTCAGTAGTAGAGCACTTGCCTTAGCAAGTATTAGGCACTGGGTTCGATCCTCAGCACCACGTATAAATAAATAAATAAATAAAAGGTCCATTGACAGCTAAAAAATACTAAAAAAAGAAAAAGAACACAAGAATTCAATTCCCAGCACTGTAAAAAATATACAAATAAGGGCTGGGATTATAGTATAGTTCAGTTGGTAGAGTGTTTGCCTCACATACACAAGGCCCTGGGTTCAATCCCCAACACCACTCCCCCTCCCAAAAAAAAGTACATATATACCAAAAAAATAAAAAATAAAAAGAGAGAGAGAGACATTGCCAGGAGCAGTGGCCCACGCCTGTAATCCCAGCAGCTCAGGAGTCAGCAATGAGTGCTCCTAAATTCAATCCCCAATATTCTCACCCCAAAAAAGACATTAACAAAAGTTTAAAGCAGTATTTCCCAAAGTATGAAACACATATTATGAAAAGATCCTCCATCTACATGGTTGAATCAGATGGGGTTATCTATTCCTTTTTCAGTTCTCTTTCAACCCTTTTAATTAAGGAAAACAACATTAGGTGGTATTTGTTATATCTAACATTTCTGTAATATTTTACTCTCCTTTATTCCCTGTATTCAAACTAGAAAGAATTTAATAAATTCTAGTATCTAGAAAGAATTTAATAAATTTCTATTTCAAAAGCAATTTGATTGGGATTGGGGTTGTGGCTCAGCTGTACAGCCTAGCACATGCGAGGCTCTGGGTTCAATCCTCAGCATCACATAAAAATAAATAAATAAAGGTATTGTATCCAACTACAATTAAAAAAAGATTTTTTTAAAAAAAAGCCATTTAATGGGCTGGGGTTGTGGCTCAGTGGTAGAGCGCTCACCTAGCAAGCACGAAGCACTGTCAATCCTCAGTACCATGTAAAAAATAAATATATATTTTTTAAAAGCAATTTAATTAAAAAAAAAAAAAAAATCAGCTGACTGTTAAGGGTGCTGACTCTGTAAGCATTACACCATAGAAGGCCAGACCATAAATGTGACTGCACTGGAAGGTTTCAGACACCAATAAAGTTATTACCATCCAGCACCACTAGAGACCTTAATTTCTCCATTTATACCTGTCACTTCAACCTGTCGTTTCAACTTTGTGGGAAGGCCCTAAGAATTGAAAAAATCCTTAAGCCTTTAAAATAAAGAATATTTTCTGTCAATTTAGTTCATATATTTCTTTCTGTATTACATAGCTTTAGGAGTCTTTTCAAATGCTTATTATTAGCACAGACTGAGCTTAACAAATGTTAGGCAAATTTTTTTTTAAATTGATTAAAAAAAAAAAAACTAGTTAAGGATTACAAGAATATGTAAGACTTAGAAGCAATCCAGTTTGGAATGTATACGTAGACAGAAAATGTTAAACCCAAAATGGGAACAAGATGTATTACCTTTACAACTGAAAACTTCAATACTCTGTAAAACAAAGATTTACAATTTCTAAGACTAAAGATGGAAAAAACATAATTCTTAAACACAGAATATGTCAAAACTAAATTTAGCTGCTTCCAAGGGGGGAAATGACAAAAAATTCCCATTGCAATCCAAATAAACTCATTAAAAGCAAGACTTGTTAAAGAAGGAAAATACTCTGGCCCTCCTAAAGCTACTTTATTTTTACTTTTAATAGCACTAACTCTTAGTCACCTAACATATTGAAGGGTGTGGGGAGGATGATGTGGGAGTAGAAAATTTTTTAAGAATTTCCACTTGGCTTCTCACTAGTGTGGCTTTGGAATCTGAATATGGATGTATCAGATTCCCTCAGATTTTTATAACTCAAAAATAAAGATGCCTTGAAAAAAAAAAAAAGTATCTTGGAGGGACCTTAAACCTGTTCAGGTCCCCAGGCATTATTTAAATACTAAATATAGTGCTTTTTAAGTGCATGATTATGTAGCTAAGGACTGGTGGGGTTTTTAAAAATTCCAGTTTAAGGCCACTGCCCTCAAGAAGCTTACAATATATTTGAAGTCAAAACATACACAAAGTAAGAATTAAAAGATTTTCTTAAAGGGAACAGATTAGAATGCCAAATATTAGAAAAGGGTTATAATTAAAGATGTTCAAGTGAAACTCCACTGAAAAAGAAAACATGACTAATAAAAAAAAAAAAAAAAGCTTTGAAAGGAAATATGTTAAATAGAGTCTATAAAATAGCTGGAGAGGAAAAAAGAAATCAAGAAACTATACTTGGATGGCACTCTCAGTTGCTCCCTCCATGATTCTGTTATCTAATGGGTATCTCTGCACATTCCTCTTTCCAGCTGACATAACTAGAACTATAGGATTTAGTTATTTTTGAGGCAAATTCGGAGTAAATGGTTTAAACAAAACAATAATTACAACTTTAGAATATCTTAAAAAGATCTTGAGCTTACTCTAATGTATCTCAACATTCTTTAGGTTGTATCTATATGGGTCTTAAAAACTGGGTCCCATGAAAATCTAATAAAAGGTATTTTTCTGAAAATGGAGCTTAGTTATTTCACACAGTTTCAATTCCTAAGTGTCACAAAACATCCTGGGTCCTTGAAGATCACTCTATACAAACAGACGTGATCCCAGAATCTGGTCCACTCCTTTTTTTGTCCATAAGAAACAAAAAAGTAAAATAATTTCTCAAGGTCATAAGGTAAACAACATAAATAAAAACGTGGAAATAAATTTTATGGACCTTCCTATTGACTAACTGGAAAATTTTCAAGAATATGCAGTCCTAAACACCTTTTTTTAAAAACAAGCAAATCCAGAAGGTTTCATCAACTCAACTCATGTATTTTTTTTAAACCCTGCAAATTCAATTTAGTCAAATATACACTTCTGACATTCAAGAGTTTGTAATTCGCATAGGTTCCATTGATATTTTGTATTTTATTTAAAATTTAGTAAACGTCATGTTTCAGTAGTTTTTAAACATAAATTTATTCTGGATAATTTCACCTACAGTGGAACATTAACTGGCATGTCATCTAAATATTTCCTATAAGAACACCTGTCAATGACTGTCAAAAACAAGCCATAGGGAAATAAATGAGTATGTAAGAAAACTTAAATTTTTACAATTACATGGGAGATTACCGGGCAAAAGCAAAAATGAGAAATTACAAACGAGATAAAGAAAATCGAGGGGCAGAAAGGACACAGGAAAAAAATAATAGAAATGGCAGGAAGAAGGCATCTGAGAATGAAGGGAGCACCGCTAAACGCGAAGGCTACAAATCACTTACTCGAGCTGGCCAATGAGGATAACCTTTCATCTTGGCGAAGATGAGGTCTCCAGGTTTGAAATCGCGAGTCATGTCTCTGGGGGGGCGAGGCCGGGGGGTCCCAAAACCAAGAGGAGATGAGGCGGTGCGCGCGGCAGAGAGATGCGGGAGCGCGGATGAGCCCAGGCTCCCTCGCCGGCGGGCGGGGGAGGATGCCTCGGGGTGTCCCGACGGGCCTGCGAGGGACAGCAGGGAGGACGGTTAAAGCGAAGAAACCCGAAGGGAGGGGCCGCAGAGGGAGGGGGAGGGGCAGGGACAGCAAGGGTGGGGGTGGGAGAGCAAGAGGAGGGCCGCCTCCCGCTCCTCCCGGAGAGCGCGGCCTCCGCAGCTACCCCTCCAGGCTGGAGCAGGTCCCTAGCCTAAAAGACGCCACCACCTGAGGCAGGGATGCTGCCCTACCCCAGATTCCCTCCTCCCGCCCCATCTTTTCCAGGGCTTATTCCACGGGCTCAAGCCCCCAAAAGGGAGGCGGATACAGTGACGAGAAAGATGGATTAAGGCGGACATTTCCCTTCCATCCACGCACAACCTCCCCCACAACCTGCTCCCCGACGGTCGCAGCCCCTGATCGCCCCTCGGCCGGGCCGCGTCCACTTCCCCGCTACAGCCAACAGAGAGGCCAGCGAGGGTGGGGGGCGGGGCGAGTGACCGCCGCCCGCTCACCTGCCGGGGCCGTGGGCGCTGAGGCTGCGGTGGCGGGCCGGCCGCCTCCGCCCGCGTCCACGCAAGCCACCTGCGCCACCAGCTGCCGCAGAGGCGTCTCAACGGCTAAGAATCGCAACCGCCGCCACCACTGCCGCCGCCGTCGCTGCGCCGCTCCCGCGCGGCTCCCGCTCGGCGCCCGCTAGCACTGGGGCGGGACCAAGTGCTCGCTGAGGTAGGGGGGATAGTATAGCACCCCCACAAAGTCTGTGACTCCAGAGCGGAGGTTTTGAAGACCCTAGATCCTCATGTTACCTTTTCACTAATAATTGTATTCAGCAGAAAAGAGAAATAGATAAGAAAGAACGAAGAAGTGAGAGAAAATAGCTGGAGTGGCTGTGGTTCTCCCCTGTGGTTTGTGGAATGGTCGGGCCTGGCCCGCCCCTGCTGGCTGCTCTGCGTGTGTGTATTTGTATGTGTACTGTATGTAAAAGGCGGGGAGGGAGGAAGCGATTGTTGTGTATCGGGTTTGGGGGCGGATATCAGGGCCCATCGCACTTGGATGCGTATTAGGGAGAAACTGGCAGCCTGTTTTTGCATCGTTTCCCAGGGCGGGGAGGCTTTAATTCTTTCTTGGGCGATTTGCATCATACAAAAAAGAGGAGCTGTACAAAAACCCATAGATAAAATTGGAGCACCAAGCGGTTGCAGAGTATGCAGCTTGTAGGCCATGCACCTCGCTGAATGAACCTTACAGTCTGCTTTTCCTTGAGATTGTAATATGAGAAAGTCTCATTCATTTCTTTTATATTTAAATCACCAAGAACTGTTAAGAAAAAATGCAGTCCCAACAAATGCAAAATGCGAAGGTTAAAAAACAATGACACGAAAGCATAAGCTTGTAAAATAGAATGTGGGTTTGGGCCCAGACTAAATTTTAGCTGCTTCTGAATTTCATTTCCCCAGTAGAATGGTACTGGTAGGTGGTACAGTGAGTGTTACCAAATTTCAAAATACTTTTAAAGGGATTTTAAAGATTACCTTATTTTTGATCCTTTAGCTTATGCATGTCATTAATATATTAGTAATAACATGCCCAGCATTTGACGTGATCTGATAATTTAATATTTTTACTCTTACCAGAGCTATGTCACCAGTATTGTCTTATTGTGTTCTTTACCATTCATTCAGGTTTACAATAAATATCTAATGAATAAGGCATTTTGAGCATTAATAAAATTAATCTCAAATTTTGTTTCATCCTTCATTGAACCCCCTCAAAAGTACCTACTGTGTATTAAGCCCACTTTGGTGTTGTGATATAGCTATGAGCAAGCACATTTACTTCCTATTTTAAAAGGGATGAAAATATATTTTAAAAGAATATTAAAATATGTAATTATTGATACATAGCTACTACTGCTTTAAATAAAGTATTCAACTGACAATAAATTAGAAAAAGCTTTATTGAATATACAAAAACAGCATGCCTTTTCAAAAGGAATGAATTTATATTCCCAAAGTAAAATGACCTGCAAGGAGTTTCAAAAAACTAAGTTGTAGCTTAAGGTTTGCAGAGGGTTCCATGCAGAGCACAAAGGGAATTGGCAAGGGAGAGGAAATTGTTGGTGATATGGCTCCAACTTTCTCATCCTGAATTTGAGTTTGTTGACTACTATGGAGCTATTATTGGTTGTAGAGCAAGAAAAAAATAAAAATTATTCTTTTAAAATTTTTTTCTTACTGTTTTAAGGTAGATGATAGTAGAAAGAGGTTTGTGAAACTACTAAATGATCCATTTCTGTGCATGTTTGGAGACTATGAAGGTGGCGAGGAAGGGCACAAAATTGCACAAAGAAATAATCATCATTTGGTGGCAAATCATGCATAGGAATGGGGCAGAAAATTGTACTAAAGAAAAGTCCAAGAAACTGAATTCTCTCGAATCCAAAGCATCCCTCAGAAATCATTTTTTATGCAACTCCTTTGTTCTCAACACTGTAACTGTAAAGGCCTTCCAACTCCAAGTGTGGTCAGGGCCCAGCAGCATGGGCTTCACCAGGAAGCCTGGTAGAAATCCACCCCCTCCCCAGGCCTATGGAATTGTTTTCTGCAGTTTAACCAGATCCCCAGGTGATTGTTATATATATTCAAGTTTAACAAACTGTTATGGCCAATCCTACTATAGATTTAAGAGCTTAAAATCATGTGGGAAAGACAGATATATAATAAAATCTAATTGATGCTAAACTTTTTAATTAGTGACCAAAACTGAAGAGGCGGCAGCTAGTAAAGAAGGTGTGATTACTGTCAATGGGGAGGTCCTCAGAAAATAAAAAAGTAGAAGGAAAATGGAAAAGCATTGATATGTTAGTGTGAACAAACTTCAATACTTAGCCCTTGCTGTCCATAAATTTTGACAATTTCAATTTGTGACAGCCTGCAGACAACAGATGTTACCTTGTAAACAGCAAATCAGAGCAAAGCAGGTGGACATTTCAGCCTCCAGAGAACAAAAGCCCAGGATCCCTGGGAGCAGGAATTCTGAATCTGAGAGGGGAGAAATGGAGGGGAGGGGATGGAGAAGAGGAAAGGCTGAGCACAACACTGCCACTTGGAGACCTTTCTCCCCAGCCATGCCTCACGCACCTATCCACAGGAAAAATAATACAATTTCCAAAACTAAATCAAGGGAAATCTTAATGTATTGAGGCAGAAGCTTGACTTACATTCTGTCATGTAACCTGGGTTACCATTCCCATTTTCCAGATGAATAAAACAGAAGTTAAACAACTTGCCCAAGGTCATTCAGGGAGTCTAGCAGCCAAGACAACCTTCCAGCCCTTCAGTTCTCAAGGCCACCCCTTTTTGTGATCCCAAAGGGCCTCTAGGTGGGGCAGGGAAGCAGCAAGTCTGCAGGCAGAATGGCTTATAATTAGAAAAAGATGCTGAAGTAAAAGCAATCCAGTACTTTTATTCCAGCTTCAGATTTCCTAATCATCTCCCTCAACCCCACCCCATTCCCCAGCTTGACCCACCACCAGCTCAATCTGTTTAACTCCTTCTGGACCTAAAGGACTCAATCCAAAAACTACATCTGGAAAGATTCTGACATCGTCTTCCAGTGGCATCATTTTTGCAATATTTCCTATTAGTCTTTAGACTACTTAGAAGTAGATTCTATCTTATTCATCAGGGCATGCATTTTTCAGGTACTCAATTAATTTTTTAAAATAAATAATTATTGAATGAATGAAAGGAAGGGGCACCACATGATGAACCCTGACAAAGCCCTAAAACCTTTGAGAAATCCTTCTGTTTGGGCTGGAGTTGGAGCTCAGTGGTAGAGTGCTTGCCTAGCACACGTGAGACACTGGGTTCGATCCAGCACCACATAAAATAAATAAATAGGGGCTGGGGTTATAGCTCAGTGGTAGAGTGCTTGCCTCGTGCATGTGAGGCACTGGGTTCAATCCTCAGCACCTCATAAAAATAAATAAAGATATTGTGTCCATCTTTAAAAAAATCTTTAAAAATAAATAAATGAGGGACTGGGCTTGTGGATTAGCGGTAGAGCACTAGCCTCGAATGTGCAAGGGCCTGGGTTCCATCTTCAGTACCATATAAAAATAAATAAATAAAAATAAAGGTATTGTGTCCAACTACAATGAAAAATCAAATATTAAAAAAATAAAGGTATTGTGTCTGTCTACAACTAAAAAAAATTTATAAATAAAAAAAATACTTGGTATTTATTTTTGTTTTGACTTTATGTGTTTTTCTGTATTTAAAGATTGACCCTTTAAAAGCACTGACTTTCTTCACTAAAAATACATTCATTTGAATAAAATCTTTATAAATGAGATTCAATGTTTATTATAAAAAACTTAGCAATGATAACCACTTGGTTCATATCTCTTATCTAATTCCCCACCTTAATACACAGAATTAGCAACACACCTTACACTTAATAGCATTTACAGGAATTATTGATCTGTTTATTTTCTTATGTGTGATGTTTTAAATCTCATGATAAAGAAGCAGTGAGAAATTAGCAAGAACACAGGAAAAGTCAAGAGCAATAATCAAAGAATGAGTTCAGTCAGGGATGTCATCAATTCACCCAAGGCCTTCCTCCCCATGAAAATCAAGAAGCATTGGAGTTTTAGTCTCAGGTGGAGAGAAACCAAGATGTATTAGCTGGTGAAACAATGACTAGACATACAGCTAAGCAGGTTTACCAATGGATAGAAAAGAGTTGTTTTCAGACACAGAGAATAAGAAAAGTCTGAATGAATCTGGACTCACTGGATAGGTCAGAAAGCAATTGGGCAAGGGCAGGGATTGACAGGTGAACTATGAATGTATATTGTAAATCTGCCTAGACTGTGTGCTGTTCCAGTGGAATTTTTTAATTGTTTTTCTACTGGGGATTGAATCAAGTGGTACTTTACCACTAAGCCATATCCCTAGAACTACATCTCCAGTCCTTTAATTTATTTTTATTTATAATGTTTTGCAGTGTTGGGAAGGGAAGCCAGGACATCATGCATGCTAGGAAGAACTCTACCATTGAATTACATCCCCAGCACTAATTCTTTGAGACAGAGTCTCTCTAAGTTGTTGAGGGTCTCTCTAAATTGCACAGGCTTGCTACAACTTATGATCCTCCTTTCTCAACCTCACATGTCACTGAGATTATGGGTCATCATTCCTCGTCTCAGACTTTTGGTTTGCTTCTTTCTTAAATCTCCATGTGCAGTTTCAGTTAAGGCTTGTACTATCCCATATGTCCATGTACCACCTCTTTTTTACTCTTCTACCTTTTTTGTGTGTGTCTTTTCTCCTTCTTCACCTCTTCTTTATTCTACAGTCTTCTTCCTTTTCCTGTATATTCTCACTTCCTGATTTTGGCCAGATGATGTCTTTTATTATCTTTGTTCCTTTAATTCTTGTAGGTCAGCTTTCTCAGCTGTTTTCTGAGAACAATAGCATAACTTGAGAAAGTAAAAAAGCATAAATTAGAAAAAGGGGAGTTCAAATAGGCAAGCTAGAGAAATGCTGTCAAAGTTACACAGATTTTTTTTTTCTTTCCTTTATTTGGTATTGAATCCAGGGGCACCAAACCACTGAGCCACATCTCCAACTTTTTTATTTTTTATTTTGAGGCAGGGTCTCA